AAGACGTTGTGGGTGCAGGTCAAAGAGCTCATTTTGGTGCTGCAGCGACTGCAGCAAAGTCAGAAAGTGTGGGCGACGACCGGTCTCGAGTGGAGCGAGCGAGCGAGCGAGCTTCGAATGCTTTGTTGGAGGCAAGGCCGCACTCTCTTTCCTCCTCCTCCTCGCCGCCATTCATCCATCCATAGCCGCATCCATCCTCATTCCCGCATCTGACCCTTTGTCCGCATCAGCCTTATCGCATCGCATCTGCTCCGTCTCTCTTCTACGACCACCACATACCGCTCTGCATTGCCACATCCTGCAGCAATTATCCACTCTCCTCGCCACGCCACACTCTACCCATGCTCATCTGATCACAGCTAGAACCCACGCCTAGTAGAGCCCTCGGTCGCGGCTTATCCAGCCCTCCCATCCACCAACTCGGACATTCGTCCGCCCCTTGAGCATGTCGATCCAACGAGGCCTCATCTCTCCGCCGGTCTCCGGCAGAACACACAAGGCGAGCCAGCCACGCCTCGGCGACGTCCACCGCGGTCTTAGTGCTGCCGATATGTTCGGCCGACCGTCCGACCACGATGCTGCCGCCATGCATCACCACGACCACGGTCAATCGCACACCTTTGAGCATGCGCACCTCGACCATCCCATCCAGAGCCCCGAAAAGAAGCTCAAGCAAGATCCTCTGGGGGTTCCCGGTGCCGTGCGTCCTCCAACACCACCCATGAGCCGGGACGTTCGCCACGACGACAAAGTGCAACCCCACCACGACGATCACCTGCGCCACCGCGCCAGCTCGGAAGGCGACCACTGGGCCGCACCCGCATCCTCCATTGCACTCGCACACGTCACTTCGGCCACTTTGGCCGTCGACGATGCGCACCACGCCGATCAGCGCTTCGGCACGCTCACCAAGGGCGTCGCGTTCGAGTCGGACGACGATCACAACCCTTTCCTCGACCGCCGACCCGCACGCCCCACATTGCCATCCTCGTCCGAGGTCAGCAAGGCGATTGCCCCCGTTGCTGGATCCAGTCACGCCGCATATGCAGCTTACGATGAATACGACAGCGACCAAGACGCCGAGGGCTCGGTGCACGACGAAGACGAGGACGAGCATGGCTTCGGACTCAGCGCCAACACCACCCCACGCGCCTCGTCGACACGCGCCATTACACCGCCGCGCCGCACACAAGCGCCTGCGGATCGCGCGGGCTACCGTCCTGCGCGGCCGCTGTCGGCGCATGTGCGCGTGGACAACGAGGATGTCAGCTCGGTGATACCCATCCGCGACACGCCCATGAACCCCTTCCTGGCTGGTGGGCCGGCGGACAACGGATTTTGCGGGCCGCGCGGCCACGAGGCCCGTCGTCGGGCGCAGCAGATTCCGGGCAAGGAGCGCGGCAAGATCACCTACGTCTTCCGCGGGCAGAAGGTGACCTACGCCGACCCCGAGTACGACTCGGACGACGATGATTCGGACGACGATGACGAGCAGCGCGCAAGGACCAACGCGTTCAATCCCCACCACAACCCGGACCGTCCACCGAGGCTGCAGCCCCGACTGCTCTTCCCGCCAACGCATCCCAGCGTGTCGACGGCAGCAGCGAGTGGGTCGCGACCGAGAGCGACGCGTCCATATGCTCAGGCAGCGGCGACCAAGACGAGGTCGTCATACTTGCCGTTTGCCGATCTGGGCGAGGGCGAGGGTCAGGATGAGGGCAGCAAGGGTGGTGGACTGTTTGCCGCCCAAATCGCCGCTCGAGACAAACAGACGAGCACAGTAGCAGCGACGCAAGAGGCAGCAACTGGATCCCAGACTCGCACCGACAACCGGCACGCGGCGAGGGCGGCGCTGCTGGCGCGGCTGGACCAGACCAACTGGAGCGACGACGACGAGGACGAAGACGGTCGGCGTGCCAACCACCGACGAGGTGCACGCGACAGCAGCCACGACACGGCCGAAGACCAAGACGAAGAACAAGACGACGACGAGCAAGTCGAGGTGGAGAGCCATCTGCTTGCACGCACGGCCAAGAGAGGCTCGGACGAGCTGCAGCGTGGCCATCAAGATTCGCTCGATGCCATGGGCCGACCGCTCAAGCGCTCGCGTGCGTCGTATGCATACTAGATTCCGTCTCGTTTAGCCCAATGCCATATCGACACTTGCCTGTCCCCACTGCGGTTGCAGTTTCGTGCATGTTGGTGTACGTGCAGCTTGGATCGAGTGCGGGACGAGATTGGAAAATTGTGAGATCGGCGGCTTTAAAAAGAATAGGTTGCTTTGGCGCTGGGCGGCTGATTGTGCATCCTCGAGGCAGGCTTGGGCCGTATTGTCCGGCTTGCGACGTCACATGGGCAACCCAAGCCAACGAACGGCCTTTTGAACGGCCATAATTGCGTCGGTGACTCGGCTTAGCCCACACGCTAAGGGCGCCAGGGCAGCGCGTTGGCCCCCTCAACCCTTGAGCCCTCACCCTCAAGCCCTTTGAGCCCAGCTGACTCTGCTCAGGCCGGGGGGAAAAGGAAAAATTTTCGGCTTGCTCTCGAGTCTCTCGAAAGCCTCGGCGGGCGACAAGGATCGAGTAGATAACAAGAAGTGCGCGCCCGCCCCCGGGCTGATTGATGGCCGTGCGTGTGACGTTGCATTGCACTTTGCTTCTCCAACTGCTCCGGTCCAGCCCGTAGCCGTGGGCAGCTGCTTTCATCTCTTCTCCTTCCGGCCTTTCAGAAGCCTCTCTCTCCATCCCGCTCCACACCTCACTCTCCCTCCCCC